CCTGGCCAGCTCTCTCTCTCTCTCACCTCCTTTCCCCCTAACTGTGACTATGCCTTCCCAATTCTGCTGAATGCTTGAGGGAAACTCCTTATTTCCTATGGTAACCTGTGTCTGATGTCTTTATGAAAATACAAGAACTGAGCATCGTTCAAAATGACTTTAACCTCTGAAATTGTCCAAGGAGAATGAATTCACGGGCCACTGGCAAAATTTAAACGAAGAATAAAAATAAAACATTTTCCAGGTTTAGTAGGAAGCCTGGGTGATTTCCAAGGTAGATTTCTGGGAAGGTAATTTCTGAATTTCAGCAGAAGTTTTTAAGGGAAGGAACAGCTGAGGTTTGGCCTGGTTTCAGCCACACCCTGCTTGCTTGGGGCTGTGCTGTGCTTTGAGTCTTGTGATCCATGTGTAATGGCTGAGTCATGAGCTTCGTGACATAGCTTTTCGAGTCCAGAGGTTTGTACAGAGACAAAACAGCTCTAATTTCAGAGGCAGGAGAGGAGAAGAGGAGGGATAAGAGGAGGTCCTGGTTGGGAGTGGGGAATGGGCCTGGGGTTAGTCCCAGCAGAAGCCAATGGTCCCTGAAGGAAGGGTCCCCTCTCTTCAGATCCATTGTGTGTTGGAAATGGGAGAAAATGGCCTCCCACTAGAAGCTGCTGTTCCTGGGAGTGGTTTGTCACATGTGTAGGGAAGGGAGAGGAAGATGCTGGTGGTACATATAGTGACATTTTTTGTCCTTTCGGCAAAGAGAAAATGACACCCTTCTTTAGCAGACAGACCCCTCCAGAGGACCGGGGTGGACTCTACCCTAGAGAGGGTGCTGTTGGTGGCGGTCACAACTGCCTTTCTATTTCTGAAAAATGACTCCCAGGGTCTAAATGTCCCACTTGGACCCAGGAGCCGGGTATCAAGTCACAATCCTAAAACCTAAAATGTCCTGACCTAGAATGTGACGGACGTGCCAGAATGTGCCAGAAGCAGATGAGTCACAGGCTCTGCTTAGAGTTCGTTCCACCCACAGATGGATCCAGCCTTTGCAGGCGACCCAAGGAAGATGGCTTCAGAGCTGGCACCAATGGAAAGGGGACGAAGGCCCAGCAACAGGCTGGGATTGGCAGGCGGAAGGGGCACGTGATGGGCTGAGCTGTCGGTGCCAGGGTGTGGGGCTGCGGCAGGGAGGGGACACTCTAGCCCGCCTGCCTTTCTTCCGTCCCCTGAGAGATCCAGCTCCTCTGAAGGTCATGCCTTGCTTGTGACCTGATTCGGCATCTGGACATTAGCTGGGAGTCCAAAGGCCAGTGAACTCCTTTTCCCCCCAGAGACAGGGTGAACCAGGGAGCTGGAGGGCAGGCCATGCCTGCTTTGTCATGCCTTATATAACCATAAAAGGTCATCTGGAGCACCTGCGGGCAGGCGGAGGCCTGGCCAACCCGGGGTGGAAACTCAAGGGCCTTTGCTCTCTTTCCTGTTGACACCTGCTCTTGAATGGGCAGAACTTGAAAACAACCGGTTGGTGTTGTCTCCATATTTGTCTGGGTTGGGAGAACTGGGAATGTATCCAAGCTGTTTGGCTTCGATTTTGTTTTTAAGTCATGAGAAATCACAACATCATATCGACTTTTTTTTTTTTTTTCTTTTTACCCCCTGGCAGTGCTGGGGATCGAGCCCTCGGATTTGGCATTCCATGTAAACACTCCCTGGCCACAGTCCAGCCCTAAAGTCTCCCTGTTCTAAATGCCCAGGTCAGTAGTGTTAAGCCCATTCACCCCGCCATCACCCTCCCCACTAATGTCTTCAGATCTTTTTATCCACAAAACTGAAACTCTGTCCCCATTAAACAGTTCCCCTGCCCCCTTCCTAGCCACTAGCACCTCCCCTTCTACTTCCGCCTCCGTGAGTTCATCTCCCCAGCCACCTCATGTGATGGGCTCTGTGTGTATTAAAATGTAATAATTGAAAAAAATTTTTCAAAGAATTCAGATCTAGGAAGCGCCAACACAAGCCTTTAGCAGCAGCAACTCCTTGTGGTATTTTTCCGTATGCTGCACTATGGATTTAATTATAAGATACAGTGTGAAATATAAGCACATATAATTAGTTTCACATTGGGACGGATCGCTTTAGAAATAACACTCTACCTTTTTGTTCCCTCAAAACCTTGCTGGTACATAGGGAAGAAAAGCGCTTTGTGCAAACTCATTAGAAACAGGTTCTGTCACCTGTACATCACCACCTAGACGGTGAGTCATTTCACAAATTTTAGTTTCCTTGTCTCAAAAGGTTTGCAAAGACCAAGGTCCTTCCAGCTCTAAGATCAGATTTTTTTTTTCCAATTCTGTAAAGCTGGAAGTCAAGTCAAAGGACAGGAGTTGACAGGTGTATTGTCATAGCTAGCTACAGGATGCCACCGGGTGCCTCCTCTTTATATGAATGATAAAACAATGTATTGACGTAACTGAGGCGCCCACGCATGCGAGGAAGTGAAAGCTGCTCCCCCCTTACCCTCTACTGCCCCCTGTTGCAGACAGCAGAGCCCCAGGCTGGGCAGCAGCTGACCTGGGGCTGCTTCCTGGACAAACCGGGTCACTGAGGCACAGGGCCAGAGGCCCAACCTTGAGTGACCTACATACACCTGCACTGCCGTGTCCAGGAATGTCCGCAGTTCCTCAATGCCAGGCGCAGAAACCTCCAAATGACTGTCCTGCTCACGTTTGCTGTGCTGTCAATCATCAAATTAGGGTCTGCCTTGACATTTCCCTGCTAACTGCTCCTCTTCTTCAGCTCTAACAAGGAACATTTAAGACACCAGGGGCTTCACCCTGAAGAGTTCACACCTGGTTTTAAAAGCTCAGTTGCAAGCGGTAAACCCAAGAGTTGTGGCTAGAAAAGAAGGAAGCAGAAAAAAAAAAGTGGAGATGCCGGGGATCGAACCCGGGACCTCATACATGCAAAGCATGCGCTCTACCACTGAGCTACATCCCCCTCCCTTTAGGCTGGGCTTCCTGAAAATCTCTGCTACACTCCTTTCGTAAGGGTTTCCACGCCCTCCAGTTTAATCTTGTGCATACATTTAAATGGCTATTAGGGTTAGCAAAAGCCAACCAAAAAAATTCATTTCCTGTTTTTCAAATGGGCCTATTCTCCATAGCCTTGCAACAAAGATTCTAATTGCTACAGGAAATGGAAAATAAATCAGAAATTCCAGTAAAGGAGGACATTGGTCTGATGGTACCCGGGAATCTCCATTCCACCCTCAGTGAATTTGAGTCCGCACATCTGCTTGAAGGCTTTCTCCTCCCCACCCCCAAATTGTTCCGGATATAAAAATGAGCAAATTAAAAAGAAACGGATTGAACCCCCAGAATCAGGGCTCAACTTTAGAAGAGGGGATCTCTGCAACATCCCACTAGGAGAGCCATCCTGAAATTGTGAAGGGGCACCCAGCCTCGGGGGCCTGTGGAGAGGGCCAGAGGGAAGAAGCCCAAAGGTTTAGTGTCTTCAAAGCCTCAAGGGGTTGTGAGTGGGAGACCTCCCCTGCCACCTGGTTTGCCATCGGCCCCCTCACCGCCGGATCTGCTCTGCTGCCCGAGCAGCTTGCCCTGCATTCCTGCCTCTCTGGCCCTCATCCGGGAAGCAGAGGTTTCCAGAGCCCCTACCTCACCAGGACTTGTGACAATTTGACAAGACAAAGCATCTAGAACAGTGTTCTCAGCGTCTAGGGGCAGACCCTGAAATGTGAGCTGTTAAAGCTACGGTGGAGTTTCCATGGGAACTGCAGGGAAACTGCAGGGTCTCACGTCTGCTCCAGGTATGAGCTGCCACATTGCTGATCCTGTCCTGGTGAGAGAGAGCAGCGGAAGAAAGGGAGGGTGTGGATGGGCTACTGTGGAAACCGTCCCTGTCCTCACTCCTCTAGCTCGATGGTGGCAGAGCAGAGGGGTGGCACCGTGGGCCATGACCTTGAGAGACCGCTCAGCTCCCAGAGGCCCCTCTGCTTCCTCCCTCCAAAGTGCATGGCAGCCAGAGCTCTCTGCTCAGAGCAGACCTGATTTTGATTCCTCTCTGCACAAAACCCTGACAAGATCAAGTCCAGACTCCGCAAGGCCCTAGTGGAGTGGACTTCCCTGATTCATCGCCTGCTCCTCTTCCTCTCCACGTGTTCTGTCCTTAGTTGGGCCACTTCCTTCCCACCTCAGGGCATTGGCACTTACTGCTCTCAGCCTGGACAGCTGTCCCTCAGCTCTTGCCCCAGCTGGCTCGATCTAGATGTCCAGCTCCTTGCTCACACGTCCCCTCCTCAGCGGGGCCTTCCCAAGCATCTCCTACTGACCTACCTGTCTCACCACTCCCTGTCACACACCCTCCTTGTTTTCTTATAGCATTTATCCATTTTAATAGTAAGGGCAGGGCCGGGTCTGGCTTGTGTCCTGCAGCAGCCCTGGTGCCTAGGATGGGGCCTGGCACATAAAAGGTGCTCAGTAGGGTTTGTGGAATGAATGTGGGAAAGTTTGGGATAAAGGTAGAAATGAACCACAGAATAGGAGCCTGGGAAGGTAAAGGGCTAAGAAAGCTATTTCAGATCTCCCCTGTCCCTGTGTCCGCCCTGACCTTCGCACTCCCTTGATGGAACTTCTAAAGAACGTTCCCTTCTCTGTGGGTTTGGCTCACTCCCTAGAGTGAGAGCTGTAAACTCTTGCTCAGTCCCTTTGGGATCTGCCAGTCCTGGGGGGGACGATGGAGTGTGCTTGAGGGGATCACAAGTTCACGGAGGTGGTGAGACTGGGGCTTTCCGGGTCTAACTTGTATTTAAGGTGCCCCACTTGAAATGAGACTGGGAGTCTCAGGGTGGAGAGGAGGGGGACTTCCCAGCCGGGACACTGAAAAGTAGCCCCAGTGACACCATCAGGTGTTGGTGTGTCCCCGGAACTGGCAAGGCAATCTCTCCTCTTTCTGTCTAAACTATGGCTTTGGCTCCCATATTATGACGAAAATAAATGGCATCTTGTAAAGAGTTTGTTTATTGCCTGTGGGGTGCAGCAGCTGCACACCGGTGATGCTTTAAAGTCACAGAGTCTGACAGCTTTAGGGGGAGAAAATGTCTCAAGTTCATAAGCATCTTCCAAAATCAGATGCTGGGGCTGGAGCAATACAAGAAATGTCAGCCCGGGAAGTCCAGTTGTCCATCTCACATACCGAGGACCTTTTGCTGGCCTATTCCCTGCAAGGATGCAGGACCATCTTTACAGCGCAGCTGGACTACCTTCTTTCTTGCAATCCTGACCAAGGTCAGGATGAAAAAGACGTCGTTCCTTCATCAAAATGTTGTAGCCTCCCCGTCGGGGAATCGAACCCCGGTCTCCCGCGTGACAGGCGGGGATACTCACCACTATACTAACGAGGACGAGCTTTGCCAAGGCCTCCCTGGAACTCTTCTTTAAGGTAACTTGTCTCCCCTGCCCCTTCCCGTCCATTCCAGGGGGTTAAACCTTTTTATTTTCTTGCAAAATAAATCGGATTTGGCTAAATGGCATTTTAAGGTGGCTGTTTTTTGCTCGATCCTTGTCAGCCTGGAGAATTTAAAACGCAGAAATTAAAAAAAAAAAAAAAACAGAAAGCAAAAAATTAACGAGCAGACATCAACAAACGCATGCCAGGGATGAATAGGCGCTTAAGAGATAAACAAGGGAAACCTTGGTCCTCGTGCAACTTGACCAAACCGGGAGTCGTGAGGCCTCTAACCGCCATGGGGTGAGGGGGTCTCATAATAAAGAAATCGCGCCCCGTGACGAACTGGGATAGGCTGAGCAAGGCGCTGCTCTGCTCCTGCCGTGCCCAGAGACGGAAAAAAAGAAGGAGCTGCCGAAACCCGGGATCGAACCAGGGACCTTTAGATCTTCAGTCTAACGCTCTCCCAACTGAGCTATTTCGGCGGCCGGTGTTGCTGGAACGCGTTGCCGTCCTCCTTGTCTGCGCGGAGGCTCGGGGCACTGGAAGCCACCTCTCATCCCCCGTGCTCTGCGACCCCCATCCTCCCAGGTGCCGCCCCCGTGGCCTCCCTGGGCCTGGCCTCCCTCACGGCCCCCTGGCGCACTGTGTCCCTGTCCATCCAGCGGTCCCCGGCTAACACGCACCAGGCACTGCGCACTGTCCCCGCCGGATCCCCCGGCGCCCGGCACGGCGCAGACGCAGGACTAACGCTTGTTGGGGGAACGGACAGAGGTCGCTTCGCCGCCGCGGGGAACAGCGTCGCGCCCCGGCCCGCAGCGCGCGGTGCCGCGGGAGGCCGACTGCGCCAGGGCGGTCCTCGGGGACAGGGCCGCCGCCCCTGAGCGCGCCGCTCGGCCCGGGTGGGAGCAGGGACACAGGTGGGCGTCCAGCCTGGGCCCGGGCGGCCGCCCCTCTCCGCGGGAGCCCCTTCCCCGTCTCAGTCACTCAGTAAGCGTTTGCTGGGCACCTACTGGACGTGCGTTTGCTCCACCAGCAAACAGGCAGCAGCTGTCCAGTGGACACTGCCTGCCGAGAAGGAAGACAAATCCTGGTGCTAGACGCTGGGGCGGGGGCAGGAGAAGGGGACAGCAGAGGCCGAGGAGGAGGAGCCAGGCATGCTGGACCCTGGGGACGAGCATCCGGGGCAGGGGGACAGCTGGGCTCCCTAGACTGGAAAGGCATAGCCTTGGCAGGAACAGGAGAGTGGTCCCGGTGGAGACGTCGAGGCCCAGTGGGGCAGAGGGCGCATCCCACTCACCTGCAAGGCCTGGGAACAGGGCTGGATTTTCCTGTGGGTGCTGGTTGGAAAGCCACTGGAGTGGGGCACACTTACGACTGGGTGTTTTTCTGGTTGCAGTTTGGAGAATGGACAGAAGCCACCAGGGTGGCTGCAGGGACACCAGCGAGGAGGCTGAGGGCGTGGTAAAGCCAGAGCAGGGGTGTCCCGGGCCAGGGAGGAGCTGGGAACTCGTGGGGATGGAGACTGGGTTCAGGAAGAGTCAGGGAGCATGACACCCAAGCTGGGGGGTCTGCTGGGAATGGCCAGCCCTGACCAGAAACAGGAGGCCCTGGGGCAGCAAAGCTGTCAAGACTTCAGTCACAAACACGTTGCCTTTTGAGACACCCCTTCGATTTCCAAATGAAAACGCAAACACAGCCACTTTCCTGCACATCTTGAAGCCAACAGTCTTCTGTGTGTCCCCAAATCCAGTGTTATGGGCTGAATGATGTCCCCCCACAATTCTTATGTCGAAGGCCTAACCCTGGTTCCTCAGCACGTGAGCCCGCAGTTGGAGGCAGGACCTTTAAAGAACCCACTACTTCAGACAGCCCCTAAGGGTGGGCCCTAATCCAAGATGGCCAGTGTCTTCCCAAGAAGGGAGATTAGGATAGATTCACCTGCAGGGAAATAGCAGAGAGAAGGTGGCCGGTGGCAGGCCAAGGAGAGAAGGTGAGAAGAAGCCCGGGCCGCTGGCAGCCCCAGAGCTGTGGGGAAATGTGTGTGTGTTCTTTAAGCCCTCTGCTATTTTTTTTTTTTCAAGACTGACCCACCCAGGCTGCAGGACACCCGCCCATCCATATGCTGGATTTTCCTGGAGAGGGGAAGATTTGTGCTTTCAGGGGAATCATCCTGGAAATGATTTGGGAGAAATAGGAGGCCCTGTGCTCTGGTGTCCCCATCTGAAGAGCCTCTAGAAGAGGCCTTGCAGATGGCCTTGGCTGGGCATTCAGCTCAATGTTTTCATTTCTGATATGGGCGTCAGGTCTTGCTAGATCCAGCTCCAAACAGCCAGGCAAGCAATTCACATCCAACCCATCCCCTGTTTTTCTCACTTAACAATCCACCAACTCAAAGCTCAGCACACAGAAGGCCCTCAATACTTGTGACATAAGTGGATTAGGTGGCAGTAACAAATAACTCCACCCGGGTGGCAGAAAGCAATGGGGATTTATTCTTGTATAGTTCTGGAGGACAGAAGTCTAAAGGCAAGGTGCTGGCAGGTTTCTTCTGGAAGCTTTGAGGGAGAATCGGCTCCAGGCCTCTCCCCAGGTTCTGGCAGAGGTGGGCAGACAGTCCTAGGTGGATCTCAGCCTGTGGACACGGGTCCACCCTTGGCATCCTTCTTCCCATAGCTCTCCTCTCCATTTCTCTGCTTTCTCTTTTTCTGTCTCTTCTAAGGGCATTTAGGACCTGCCCCAACCCAGAATGATCTGCAGGAGCACTTTCCGCGTGCTAACAATCTCAAGATACTCCCCTAAATGACATCTTGTAGTTGTTGTTGGGTACCAGGGATTAAACTCTGGGGCATTCGACCACTGAGCCCCATTCCGAGACCTATTTTATATTTTATTTAGAGACAGGGTCTTACTGAGTTGCTTAGTGCCTCGCTTTTGTTGAGGCTGGCTTTGAAGTTGCAATCCTCCTGTTTCAGCCTCCTGAGCCGCTGGGATTAGAGGAGTGGGCCACTGTGCCCAGTATATTGTTTATTTATTTATTTATTTAACATTTATTTTTTAGTTTTTTAGGTGGACGTAAAATTTCTTTTATTTTATTTTTATGTGGTGCTAAGGATTGAACCTAGTGCCTCATGCATGCTAGGCGAGCGCACTATCATTGAGACACAACCCCAACCCTATTATTTAATTTTTATGATTTGATTTTTAAAATCAAAACATGATTACTATCAAGAAGCAGAAAACTGATCAGATCACTATCAGAAAACTGACACTATGGGCCAGGAAGTGCCCATGTCCTGCTACAGGAAGCAGCTTTCAAGGGTGGTTAGTTGAACATCCCTCTAAGCCTTACTTCTGTGGATACACGTTCATCGAAAGCCACACAGAGAGAGATGGACAGATCATCTTTGTTAAAATTTGATCATGTTCTATATTTTTAACCAAAAGCAGCAACATTAATTTTTCAATAAATAAAATGAAAGCAATTGCTGAACTTCAGAAAAGTTTTCTTCATCCTATAAAACACACTAGTTCCCAATAAAATCCTCTGTGTTAGGAAAAATGATTATCAAAACAATTAACTTGGGCTGGGCACAGAGGCACACACATCATGAACCCAGATGTTTAGGAGGCTGAGGCAAGAGGATCCCAAGTTCAAGGCCAATCTGGGCAATTTAGTGAGTCCTTGTGTCAAAGAAAGTAAAAATAAAACTGGGGCTGAGGTTGTGGCTGGGTGGTAGAGCGCTTACCTAGCACATGTGAGGCCCTGGTTGGATCCTCAGCACCACATAAAAATAAATAAACACATGCTGTCCATCTACAAGCACAAAAACAAACAAACAAACAAGCAAATAAATAGAATTTAAAAAAATAAAGAAAAGAAAACAGCAGAACATTTGCCTAGTATGTTCTCAGGACTGGGTCTGGGATGTAGCTCAGTGGCAAAACACTTGCCTTGAATATGCACCTGCCCTGGTTTCTATTACCAGTTCCCCAAAAAAAGAAGACAAAACTTGTCTCCCCCAAACAGACCCCAACGGAAATAAAGAAAGTGAGAAAAAAAATTCTCCATACTGCAAAAGAAAAAAAATATATATATACATATATAAAATAAAGATGTGTGTTTTGAAAGAAAACATCTTAACTTCAAGGGCCTGGGCCCATCATCACCTGATACGTAGGAGTTAATTCAACCGTTTTCCAGCCTGTAGCGCTGTGCCCTTGTGCCCAGGTTTTCCCTTTTGTATTAAGATCTTAGCACTAAAATCTCAATTCCATACTCGGGGTTGTGAGGCCAGAGTGTGGGGTACGTGAGACCTGGAAGCGCCCTCGGAAGCGTTGAGCTATTGATCCTGGCTTCTCCATTTCACTCCTTTCTTCCCCAAACAAGTCTTGATTAACAAGTCATTTTTTGTCCTGAGGTGTGGCTCACGGGACTCAGCCTCGCCAAGGGAAAAGAAGCAGGCGCACTGGGTACATCCTCCGTGTGGTGCCACCAGCATCCCATCCAGCTCCAGCATTTCCTGGCTGGGCCTCCTCATTTCTGTCCCTGGCCCTGGAAACCACCAGTCCCCTTTTTGCACAGGATTTCAGTCATAGCTAAAAAAAAAAAAAAAAGTTATTTACAGCAAGGGCTGAAAGTGTGAACTGATGGTTTTACTTCCTTTTTTTATGATACCAGGCAAACTTAGGGGGCACTTAACCACCGAGCCCCATCTCCAGACTTTTTTATATTTTCCTTAGAGACAGAGTCTTGCTAAATTGCTGAAGCTGCAATCTTCCTACCTCAGCCTCCCAAGCCACTAGGATCACAGGTGGCCACCAGCCTGGCCTCCCGTGTGTTTTAAATATTTGTAGGAGCCAGCTTTCCCATCAGTGTTATCAACAACTCGTTTTTCCTCTTCTGTGCCTTCATTGCCTGTTGACTCTTGGTCTACAGGTATTTTAGGATTTTTCTTAATGATTTGAATAAATTATTTGTCTTTTCTTTCCTTCTTTTTATTTTGAATAAATGGTGTCTGTAACAAAGATATTAGTCCTTAGAGTCTTTTGCCTACAGTCTGTTTTTAATCATTGTAGGAAATTTATTTTTTACCTACATTATTTTCTACATAGACCAAACTAGTACAAGGGTATAGCTACCAAAAAACAAAGACAACAAGAAAGAAAGAAAGAAAGAAAGAAAGAAGGAAGGAAGGAAGGAAGGAAGGAAGGAAGGAAGGAAG